TAAGGAAAAATGGAATTTTTTGCTCTCCGAGCAGGGCCGGGCTCATCCAGGCATCCTGGGCCCTCTCGTGGCTGTTGGGGAGAGGACACGAAGGAATTTTTCCTTTCTGCGAGTTCTCACTTGCAGAAAACTCCAGCACTTTTCTCATCGGGTCCTCCGGATCTGAAATACTTTAACTTCAAACTGCTCTGAACCACAACATTTAGTTTCAGATCCAAATTTACTCGGAATTTGGGGGGTATTTGAATTTATTTTTTTCCCCCCAAGCTAATCACCAGTAAGAGACCACTTCTAATATTTTTTTTTCCTATTAAAACAGTCCAACATTTTAAAAATTAAGCCTCCAAAAGCAGATGAAGCACAAATCTTCCCGTGATAAAAATTGCTGGTAATTATTCTACATGGCAGTTCATTCCGAGAGAGAGGTCAAAAAAAAACAAACCCCAGCCCAAGCCTAATTAAGAAAAAGAAATTACAGATAAGCAGATGGTTCTAAGTGACAATACACCCGAAGAGGTTACAAAAAAAAATCGTCGTGAAACCAAATTGTTTAGTCAAGGTTAATGAAAGTTGGGATATAGTGGCAAACACACGAGGAAACAGAGCAGATTAAGAGAGCACTTACAGAGATAAAGGTTGTAAAACGCTGCTTATTTCAATCTTGCAAGAATCCCTTGGGTTTAGCACCGTCTTAAATCGGCTTTGAAATGCTTGTCAGGTGTTTTGCATCAGGAATGTTTCAATCAGACCCGGAATGGAACGGCTTGAAAGCCAGGGATGAGAAAATCCACCTGAAGCTGCCACTTGGTTTATGATCAGGGAGCTGTGTTACAGCTGGGTTTGGGGGGGAAGAGGGAATTGTTAAGCTTTGGGGTAGAACAAGAAAACACTGCTTTTCCCTGCAAAAAAAAAAAAATGTCCTTCTGGAGCATCTGTAAAGAGAGAGGCTCCACTTTCCCTCAGTGTCACTATTATTTTATTACAATCAAACCATTATTGCTCACACCAGCTACACTTTGATGGGAAATTTAATGTTAATTATGCAAGACATATAAAGATTTTCATTGCAAGCAGTAAACCCCAGTATTTCTGAACCTGACAACGTGGGCTAGAACAGCATAATCACCACTCAGCTTGTAGGTAAATGAGCCACTTACATCTGAACTTGATTAAAATGGATTTCTCCTGCCTCTTCTCCTTTATTGGGAATGCTTCAGTCACATGGATGGGTGTTATTTTAGTGATTCACTGAAGATACTGCTGCATCTCGGATTTCATTGTTGTAATTTATGGTGTATTAGCTTGCTGAGGGTTTATTTCTGACCTTGACTTCCAAATTACGAGAAAAGGAAGCGTCCAGTAGGAAAGAAACACATCCCCACTGCCCCCCAGCTCCAGGGGGAGTGCTGAATAACCACTGAGCTTATGTCTAAAACTTGCAAGCTTAAAAAAAAAACCCACCAAAAACTAAAAGTCCAGCAATTGACTGCTGCAGGTGATCAATTTGCTGCAGTACAGTGGTGCACAAACCTGCTTGGGCGAGTTCAGGTGCAGATTTTGGGTTAAGTTCTCTTTGTGCCCTCAGATATTAATCTTGGGAATGGTTTTATTCTCAATACCAGCCACTGTTAGAAAAGGAAAAGGGTTAAACTGTTTAATAGAGCATTTTCCATCAAATGTGTATTTCCAGCTATTGAGAAGAGACAGATTTTGATTTTGAAGTGCAAAAAAAACCAACTAAAAAACAAAAAAACCCCATCTGTCGCATATAAATGTCATCAATAATAATGTATCTGGAGCAGGCAGCTCCTGGACATGGCAGTGGCAGGATCAGGAAATGCCAAAAGGCACATTTTTCTTGGCCCAAGAAACTGCCTTGGAGCCAGTTCCTCCAGTGTGCAATTCCAGAGTGCTCGAGGCAACCTGGGGGGCAAGGAACAACTTCCAAATCTGATGGAACAGTTTGGAAAGAAAAAGCAAAAACAAACCACAGGTTTGCTGTGCTGGAGCACTTCAGAGGGAACAGGGCCTTGGAGGAGGTGGGAGTTCCCTGCTCTCCTGCCCTGAAGGTGGGATCTCCAGCTCCCCTTGCAGAGGACATTCCAGTCCAAGCAGGGATTTTTTTTTTTTCCTTTCTGGAAGTTATTTGCTGAAGGCAGACTGAGTCCAATCCATGCTTTTAAGCCTTCCCTTCCCCACCACCATGAAACAGGCTCAGGAAGAGGAGCCAGTTCATCTTGGCACAGTTATAGAAGGAATTCTACGAGTAAAGGAGCTTTTTTGTTAAATATTAAAATTACACACTGCTTTCCGCTCTACTTAGACCTTTCAGTGAGGATAAACCCAGAGGTACCCAAAGCCATCCCACACAAGTCCTGCCCTTCCATTCCCTTTGCTTCCCAGACTTATGCTGCCTGGAAAAACTTCTGGATACTTCAGTTTTATTTTGGCAGATCTCTCCAGAGTATTAATTCCTCAGTTAACACCTCAAAATTGACTGTAAAAAAAACAATTGAAAAAAAAAAAACCACCAAAATGTGCTGGGTGACCCTTCTGCCCAGTTATGTGCTTAAATTCCCCATCCCTTCATCCTGCAACCACAATTCATGATGAGTCATTAAGATATTTTCCATCTCAGGCATTTCAATATTTAAACACCCAGGGGTTGGCTGGTATAGGATTTGATGCTTGAATTATCTCCTTCCCCTTGTCCTCAGAGCAGACTGGAGCCCTCAAATCCTCTCCCCTTTCCTGGAGGAACGTTTCCATTCGGGCTGAGGAGGGTCCTGGGGGTTACAAGGGGATCTGTTCAAATTGTAAACTCATCCATGTAATGGATTTTGACTGGGAAATGGTCTCTGTGTGTCACAGTAATAAAATAATCAAGTGTCCCCAGGGGACTGGGAGGTTCAGGCAGTGCCTGCAGCAGGACCAGGGGGTGGCTGAGGTCGGAATTTCTTGGTACCTGAAAAGTTTTACCTGGAGGTTTTAATGCAGCCCGAGAACACCCGTGTCAGGAGCCAAAGCAAAGAGGGGAAAACCCAGCTCCATCCACCCCAAAATCAGATTCCCAATAAAACATTTTACACCAGGAGCTGTGGCTGCTGAGAGAATTGGACAGAAACACTGAAAACAAGGGAATAGTTGCTTTTTCTTTTTATCTAGGCAAGGACAATGCTTAAACCTCTAAACTGTCCATCTTGGCCTTGCTTTTGCAGTAAGAATGGCTGGAAAGAAAAAGGCTAAGCTTACAGACTTCTGCAATCCTCCAGAAATTCAAATTTACCTGTTCCTCCTCTTTTTTTAGAGCCCACAGACAGGGGAACTTGCTAAGTTTATACATGAACACAGGAGACATCTGTTCTTCCTTCTGTTTTACTGAAGCTCTGTTGCAGAAGAGACTTACCTGGAATAACAGGGTGCTCTTTAAACAAAACCTGTTCTTTACACTTCTAAATAGGGTCAGTTAAAAAGGCAAAAAAAGAAAAAAAAATAAAAATAATAATTATCTCTTTTTATCTGCAAGAAAATGTTTATTCTTTGTAAACCCCACAGAAAAAAAAGAATGCAGCCAAGACCAAGTATTGAACGAAAACTGTGCCCAAGTGGGCAGCAAAATGGGGGAACCTCAACACAAAAAGTCAGTGACAATATTTCATGTTTTGCACAAAGATGAAAAACCTATGACATTTCTGAGTAACACTTTCATGGTGACAATTACACAAGATGATTCAAAAATGCAAATGACAGCAACATGCACACCTGGCTAAAGCTAGAAATTGTATCCCAAAGGAATTATCTGTGATTAAAAGGATGTAACTTTAATACTTCTATTGACTTGCATGTCCTACTTCTTTTTTTTTTTGTTTGTTTTCCCCCATGAGGCAACATGCCAATTAACACCATAATTTAAAAAAAAAAAAAAAAAAATCAAATCTTTTCTTTTCAGAAGAACTTTGTCCTTCCAGAGTCCACTGCATGTTTGCAAAATCCTAATGTTGGGTTTGTTTTTCTGCTGGTTTCCCCACACAATTTGGCTTCCCACCCCTCCAATCCCCCCCCACCCTCCAAAGCTCTGAAACACTTCAGAAGTTGCCAGTGCAAACACTTTCTATCAACGTATAATATACATTTTTTTAACTTAAACCTTTGTGCAATTTATGAGTTTCCTTCAAAACTCACTAGGAAAAAAAAAAACAACAACAAAAAACCCCCAAAAAACCCAAAACAACAACTCCTTGGCACGACAGCTGAAAAACATTCAGCTCCTTTTAAACTGTCAAACACAAGGTGATATAAAGTGTAAATCACAGTTGAATAAAATAAAAAAAAACCCCAGAACTGCAGGTTTTATTAGCCAGCTTTACAGTCTCTTGTATACAGTACATTGCACAGCTCCACCTTCACGTTAACGCTTCTGGATTAATATTGTGCCTTCCATGATGCAGAATAATCAAGGCAAGTTACAGAACACTGCTGAGTTTATATCAAAATAAACAGAAGATGTAACCTTGGTTTATAATGAACATCCAAATTACCATGTACAATTTGCAGTAGACTCTGTAATGAGCTTGATATATAAGATACATGACAGTGAAGGGGGAAAAAATAGTTTAAACTATCAAGTTTCCTCTTGAAATGTCTTTTCCCAAGGCACTGTGAACAAGACTGTTAGCAATTCTCAATGACTAAAAACACCAATGGGAATATAAATATTTCACACAACAACCACCGTCACATCATCATCTATTCTCTTACTCTTCCCCTTAAACAACGCCCCTGAAATTTGTTTGGTCCTTTGAGGGGGGTAAAATCAAATTCTCTTCTGCAACATCACGTATTTGCATTTAATACATCTATAAATCAAAGCTTTGTTAGATTATTTAACCCTTTCGCTGTAAAAACTAAAGATTTTTTTTTCCCTCACTATTTCTGAACGAATCTGCAAATTCATTTTTGATTATTAAACCAAAAAAAAAAAAAAAAGAGAAGAAAGGGTTCAAAATCAAGCAAAGCCCTGTATTTTTTTCAAGAGGAAACCATGCAAGAGTACATAAAAAGGCAAAATTGGCTACTTGAAAACCAAGAATTGTTTTTAATGCATTGGCCAAGGAAAATAAATTGCAAAGTTCTGTGAGGTTTTCTAAAAATTTACAAGAAAAACTGATGGGCAGTTCTAGTCAATCCAGATGTTCTTTTATCCTGTTTTAAATGACAACAAATACAGTCTCACACAATACAATTTCATCTTGACTGCAAGAGACACTCCTGTGTGATGCCTTCAGCATGACAAAAAAATTACTGGGCAAAAAAGAAAAATTGGCATTCATTTCTTCAAGGGCTGATAAACAGAGGCATTGGGATCGAGTCCAGAAGGGCTGGTCTCCACAAATTTGGAAGAGTAATGTGGGGAAACAGGACTCAGAGTGCTGGTGGCTGCAGTGTATGTTATGCTGGGCATTACTGCCATAACTTCTGCAATCTTCTGTTTTAGGTCCTTGATTTCCTGATCTTTCTGAATGATTTGCCCTGAAAACAGCAAATAACATCACTTAGAACCAGCGGCATTTTTCACCCTCCCAAACACACACACAACACCCCAAAAGTGTTCAGTGGTTGAGCTGGTGAAGTTCTTTACCATGGCATCAGTCAAAGCACAACCTGTGTAACTCCTGGCTGTGCTGAGGAGCTGTGTTTAATTATCCCTAATTACCCCACGACATAACTAAACACGGCTCTGCCATTATAATCTTGCACTGTTTGGATTCACAGCTGCGCCGTATCCAAAGATTATTTCCATGCCTCAACAATTTTCTGCACTTTTCCATTCACATTTTTCCAAAATCCTCACAAAAGCACGAGTATTTGCTTATTGGACGTGTTATTTATTTTCAAAACTGTCCGATTCCCATCGTTTTTCTAAACCCCCTTTTGTGCACGCTCACAACATCACTGCAGCAATTTATGAAACCAGGCAAAGAATAACAGCAACTGAAATGAAACAAAACAATTTCTCACTCTAATCAAATTTTCCTGCAGTCAAACAAAACTTCTACAGGGAAATTAAACGGGTGTTAAATCAAAAGGTTATTTAATTTTGCTCCAAGGTTTGCCCAGCTGCACCGAGGCCGGGTTGGGCAGGGTTTTATGCTGGTTTCCTGCTCCCCCTGGTGGCATCACCACGTTTAAAACAGGTTATTCCCCCCTCCAATTTGGGTTTTATGTACTTCACGAGTCATAAAATATTACTATTAGGATTCAAAGACAACACCTTAATAGATGGCAACTATTATTTTAGCTCTTAAAAGAGAGAGCTCTTCTAGCTCTTTAAGAGACCTCCAGCTTTACGTAATGGTTTATAAAAACGTAGAAAACAATCATAAATTAACTCAAAACACCCATCTTTACATTTGTTGCCAGTTTGATAGCTGGGGGGGAAGGAGGTCAGGTGGCTTAGGCTCACCCCCACAAAGCTGTGGAAGCTGAAATGCTCAGTGGGGGCCACATCCCACCCACCCCAAAACACTTCCATGATTTTTCTCTGCTCTCGTGTTGGATTTAACCCTCCATCCTTACCTTGGGCAATCTCAAGCTGCCTTTTTGCATCTCCTAATGCAGAGAACAGATCCAGCTTGATCCTGGTCTCTGCACTCAGGCTGTTCTCTAAGTGCTGTGTTTTATCCTGCATGGCTGAAAGTGCTGACATTAACACCTCCGTATCCTTCTCGTTTTCCTTGTACTTCCTCAGCTCCTGCAGGAATAATCAGGACAAATGTTATCCTCGCTCCCTTTGCACATGGGATAGGCTGAGAAGCCTTCTGCCTTCCCCACAGTGGGCTTGGTATTAATAGTGTGAAATTAAAATGCTGGTTAATTAAGGACACTGTAATATTACCTCCAGTAATTACACGTGGCCATCAAACAAGTGATTAAAGCCATAATGAACGAGGCATAATTACAGTGCAGGGAGCACCAGCTACTCTGTTCCTCAGCCCTCCATCAGTCACAGGAAGACCCTCCACCCAAAACCCAAAAAAATCACTTCCAAGTGCCAGCTGAGCCTGCCACACAGCCCTCTCAGCCAAGGGATGTGGGATGTGGAAACACTTCCCACAAGACTCAGAAAGGCTGGAAAAGACATTTAATAACATCCAGTCCAACTGCCAACCCAGCACCACCACGTTCACCATGTCCCCAAGTGCCACGTCCACGTGGGTTTTGAACACTTCCAGGGATGGTGACTCTACTATACACAGAAATGTTCTATACTTTTAAATGAACAAACAATAATGCAAAGGGGAAAATATTAATGCCTGCAACAAAAAGCTTCTCTAACAGTTTGAGGGTGCTAATAAGATTTAAAAGCTTAATTATAGCTGGTTGTAATTGTTTGAAAGCCATGCTCGTCCTCTCCATGGATAAACCACCCTTGTTTTCAAGAGTTTGGTAAACACAGGAACAACAAGGCTGCATATGTTGTTTGGAAACAAGTTCACGATAACACCAGGTGGATTTTGAAGAGACATTAAAAATACATATTCATGCAAGTTGTCAGTTGACAGTCCGAGGACATCTTTAGGAACAGACATTTGAAAGGAATAAGGTCAACTCCAACTCACACATTTGAGCTCTTACACTCTTAACATGCCAGACACTGTCTCTGCTACACGTCTGCCACCAAGTATTTTCAATATTGAAGCACTTTCCCCCCCCCCCAAAAAAGCCTGGCCAGTGTTTCAGATTGAGTAAGCAACCTTTGTGAATTATATAAGGATGTATAAATAAAATGGTGAATTATATAAATCACGTGAATCAAACAGATTTGTATAAATAAATTTGTGAATATATATAATGACAGAGCCTGGCAGCGAGCTCCTTGCATCAGGTAAAAAAAATGCTGTTGAGGGGATTATATCCTCAGTCTATACAGACCAGTGGCTTTGGGGAGGAAAATTGTAATTTAACCAATGGAACTGTGTGGAGCTGAGACAATTAACCTTCCTCATCCCCACTGTCTGATAAACCCTGGTGCAAGACATGCCAGACAAACATCTGAACAGCACAGTTACTGAAGGTGGTGATTGCCACTTATGTAGATCCTTGGGTTTTGGAGGGCTGAAAGCTCTCCTTGTGATGCTGATCTAAGCCCCTGGCGCTTTGTCATTACCTGAACTTTCATTTCTAGCTCTCTTATCTGATCTTCTTTCAGCTTTATGTCAATTGTTAACTTCTTGCACTCTGTCTCCAGCTCCCGGATGCGATTCCGTAGAGTTTCAGTGCACTCTCCCCTGCAGAAAAACACATGAAAAGAGGGGAAGATGAAATAAGAACAAGGTTGTCATTCCTCAGCTGTTTATACCACGAAAATTAATGTAAAACTTGAAGGATAAAAAGAGGAAGCTGACTTTCTCCTTTGCAGCAAAATGGTTTCCCCTCATGGCAACAGTGGGGAGAGTTACACACCAAGTATCAGGAAATTTAGGATATTTATGAAATATGGAGAAGAGGAAAGCAGAAATAATTCTTTTTAGACATTTGGAGCACTGCAGATTAAAGTCACCCACACTTGTGCTGTGCTCCCATCTCTACAGCTGTGTGACTGCTGAAAATCCCAGTGCTAAGCACTGGCAGCCACTGGGCCAGAGCAGGAACATTCCACAATGTGGGATCTAAACTTGATATTTTGGCCAATGCCATTGCACAAATCCTTGATTCACAGTCCCCACGTGGAAGGAGATGTTCCTTTTTCCCCAAGCAGACTGACCCAAGCAGGTACAATCTCTGCCAGCACAGCCAAGGTACAGCAGATAATTCAGAGCATTATGTTCTAAATATGCTCTTCAGAGCTTTTTCACCCGTGTAATTCATATTACATGGGCAAATGTAATATATGTAGGCACTGAGGCTCAGAGATTTCCCAGTCCTCCCTCTGCCTTAACACAAATAAAGCCTTTTTTTTTTTTTTTTCCAAGAAAAGAATCAAACAAACTACTCCTTTCTGTCCACAGGAGTGAAAAAGGCCTCCCCAAAGCACCAAGCACCTCGTGGCAGCAGCAAAGGCCACAGCTCGTGCAGCAGTTGCTTCTTCCAACTTCTTCCTTTTCTTCTCTTCCATTAATTGCTTTTCTACAAAGGTTCGTGCCTCCTGCTCTGCCTTTAGTTTCTTCTCCAACTGGCTGATCATTTGTTTGTCTTTTTGTTTCATTTGTACAGCGTTGTGCAATCTGGAAGGGAACAGCGAGGGGATTCAACGGGGGAGTTTATTCACTACAAATGAATTGGTCAGTGGTCCCAAAGGAGTCTTGGTGGATTTGCAGGCAAGATTTGCCTGGAATTTGGCAAATAATAATAACAATAACAGCTAAATAGTAATTAAATGTAAACATTAAATACACAAATATAAATATTGAATATACAAATATAAATATTGACAATACAGAATAATCATACATTCTATTATATAAACATATAGAATATATACTTGTTAAATATAAACATTAAATATAAACAATATAGATAATGATAATAGCCAAATAATTAAATATAAATATTAAAGAGAAAAATAGAAATATTCAAATATTCAATGAATATATGATGGACATACAATATCTAATATATAAATAGATGTAATGAAGATGATATAAATATTAAATATAAGTATAATAAATATATAAGTTTATTATATATATAATAAATTATATATAAATTTAATATATAAATATAATAAATTATATAAAATTTAATATATAAATATTAAATTTATATATAATTACAATAAAGTATATAAATTACTGTATTCTATTACATTATATAAATTAATATATTCTGATTATTAATATTAATAACATTAGCATGTATTTTATTAATATTTATTACACATGTTTTATTAAAATATTTATTGCTGTTTAATTAATATTAATATTTAATATTTATTAATAATTTCTTTTAATTTTTATTTGTTTTCTTAATATTTATAAATATTTATTTCTAGTTACAGTGGTTCTGAGGATAATAACAATGATGATAATAATAATATTATAATTATAATAATATATTTATAATAATAATATAATATAATATATATAATTATAATAATATTATAATTTCTTCCCCTTTTTCACACCTCGGTCATTCTTTTTCTTGTTGTTATTATTATTATTATTATTACTGTAATTAATGATTTCTCCTCTCCCAGCCCCCCAGCTCCCTCCCCAGCCGTGCCCACGTACTTGTTCTGCAGGAGCTCGTTTTCCTGCCGGAGCTGCCCCATTTCCGAGCGGATCCCCCGCTCTGTGTTGGTCAGGGAACTGATCTGACTGCGCAGCTCCTGCTCGACCTGCCTGCTGGCCTGCAGGTCAGCCTTTAGCTTCTTGATGTCTTGTTCCAACCTAAGAAAGAAAGACCAGTTTTTTTAAAAAAAAAAAGACAATTTCGACTTTATTTCCGCTCGCCCAACGCGTTACGTAAAAACTTCACACCATCTGCCAGCCCCCCCTCAAACCTCCAGACTTCAAACAATCAGCTCTCAGAAATGATGTGCATCCTTCCTATAAAATCACATTTTATATAACTACACATATATATAGCTCCATGTATACACACACCTCATAACCTCCCACAGCAGTTTGGTTTCCTCCGGGCACCGCGAAGTTGTAAAACAAATCCTATGGAATTATATTTTCTCTTAGGTCTGAGAAGATCTAATCGAGGACAGATCCACTTATGGACAAATTTTTACTTTTCTCCACAAATTCTGAGTTTAATTTGTTAGCTAGAGCTGAGCTCTGGGCCATACTGCTGAATTCTCACCTAAACATGTTGGTATTTTCTTGTAGCACATGATGTGAATGTTGAATAATGAGAACGTGGTAAGTCATCCACAGTTCAGGAGTCAGTAAATTTAGTTTTAATTGCTCCTGAACAGAGACCATCTGCTATCCACTTGAATTGTAGCTTTAGAAAGTTCTTGAAGATTCATGTAATCTTATTAATTAAAGTATTTCCAACAAAAACTGGTTAAATAAAACACACGATTCAGAACAGAGGCACTCAGCTCACTTTAATTTCCTCCCACATTTTCAAAATAAGGTTATTGATTTTTAGAAGAAAAACACATCACAGGTGACTAATCAACCTTTTTTTAAACTGTGTTATGTACTTATTTAAAGCAAATACACCTCAGCCATTCTCACATAACCCTCATTTGCTCCGTCAGTTATTGATTTGAAAGTTTTTAAATGTTCATAAAGAAGACAGAGGTGGTTTTATTTCCTAGGACTCCACAGAATTAGTGGCAGTTGAACATTAACACTTGAGGAGAATATTCACAAAAGCCAAAAAGAACTGGCCTTATTGACACTCAGCAGCACAGATAAATGGTTATAGCTTTTTGCCTTCCTCATGAAACACTTTTGGGCTTCACTGCAGGAAAATCTCAGCCTAAAAGGCTACTGAGAGATGGAACAGCACGAGGCACGAGAACATCCTGTGCCAATGAATCAAGAGGTTAAGTGTGGAATCATCAAAGTTATGGAAATTCATAAAAGTATGTCTGTAATAGGCTAAAACTGCACCAAAGAGGTAAATTAACAGCAAGGAACAGCCTGTAAAGGAGCGTGGCTGGGCTATAACACACTCGGATAACTCAGATGCTCAGATCCCACTTGCTGCACTGAGCTGGCTTTTTAGTTAGACTTGAACTGCCCCCCTGGTAAGACCAACTCCTTTTAGTGTAGTACAAACCATGGTCAAATGTACCCTTAAAAAGAAAAAAAAAATAAAAATCAACTTATACTTGTAGGCAAATAGTAACAGTACACAGCAAATACACATTTCAGATGCGAGTCCAAAAATAATTCCAACACCTCGTACTGTGTTGTTGAAAGAAAAGAATTTGCAAACCCAACCAAATATTCCTGCAGCCACACAACCCAGAAATGGAACCCCACCAGCAGGTGCTGTAGGTGTTATTAGGTGTGTGTTGTCACCCTGTTCAGGGTGTGAGACTGGACAGTGGTTGGGCAAAGCTATGAGAGTTCATCTTGCAGTAAGCAGTAGCTCAGTGTTTTAGAAAGAGCATACTTTTTAATTAAAGAGAGTAGTAATTAAAGAAGATGTAAGAACCACTCACAGCCTGTTGTGTGCCAACAGCTGGTTGGTTTTAATACAGGTTTTCATAAACAGGTGAAAAAAATGGTTGGTAGGACAATGCAAAGGAAAGGACATAAATCCCACTTTACACTGACAAGTACCTGTACATAATTTCAATATACATGTCTACAATAAAGTGATAACTGAAAATAAGACAGCTGTAAACAGCCTTTTCCCTATGGCTCAGACTATGTCAAACTCGCTCAAATAAGATATACCAGGATTTATTTTGGGTATTTAGTATTCCAGGAAAAGAAGCCCTGATCAGATAAAGCCTGAATAAATCAGAGGTGCTGGCACAGGACAAGCTGAATTTGTATTTTTGGCAACAGAGTATTGACATTAGTTCAAGTTTCTGAAGCCATCTGGTCGGTGGCATTCCTGCACCTGAGTGCTCATGGGGCTGCTCCAGACTGTGCTGGAAGAAACCTGCAGGATCCAGGGAGCACATTCAAGTGTGAGCACACAGGAGGCCAGCTTTCCAAACCAGGGGGAAACGGATGAGGCCACAAAGCCACAGCTTCCCTTCTCACTCAGCACAGGCAGCAGTGGCCAACCAGAGCTGTGGACATTAAATTTGTGAGGCTCAGGCTCGGGGAGGGGTTGCACATTCAGGAGACATCACTCAAAAGGGGCAGAAGAGAATTAATTAACACAGAGAAAACAAATCTTTTTCAAGTCAATGCCAGACAAACCCACTGAAAATTGATCTATCGATAGCCTTGCTTAGAAGGAAGCTTTAAAGAAAGATTTTAGCAGGTTTTAATTACTTCTTTTCGTTATGCTGTAGGTTCTGCTACAGCTTTAAATACCAGAGCAGACGTTTTCTGCAAATTATAGAGCAAATGAATGCTCCTCACTACCTAAAATGAGTGAGGAAGATAACAATCCATCATAATGCAGGGACTAAATGTTTCCTACATGGTTTCTCTCCCAGACCTGCCACAATTAGATAGAGATACAACTTCATTAAAAAAGACATGAATTTAGTTTCCCCTCAAAACCACATGGACTGCTTTCATTGTCTGTCAGGCCACCCACCATTAGGAGAGGCCATTTCTCATACTAGGACATTAAAAACACTCTTTCTAAAATAAAAGCACATCATCAAGGTAAACCAATACAGTGCCATAAAAGAGTTTCACTGCTGCCAGCACAGACCAGTGCATGGAGTTTTCTCTCCTCCCCTCTGGAATAGTCTGTACTGCTGTTACAATGATAAATGACCCCATAAACCAGCATTTTTCAAATTGCTGTTATTCTTACTATGATTTCATTTTCTGCTTAAGCCTCTTATTTCCAGGCTTATTGGGAAAAGTTATTTACAAAGGAGGGGGGAGTAAAGAAAACCTGAGTTCTAGAAGATGCTTCTCTCTATTGCTGCACACACTACAAGTCATTCTGACACAGAACTGTTTTTAAAATGAGGGTTTGGTTGCAAATTACGATGTTGTGCTGTTTATACAACCAAGGTCCATTCTTTCAGTTTGTCATTCCTCTAAATGCAGATTTATCCATTTTCTTCTCTCAGCACTACCTCATACCATTCCTAATCTCACTGATGAAGAGAATTAATCAGGAATCACCTCAGAGGCTGAGTATTTTTCCAAATGCTTCAGGGAAGATTGATGGATCAACTTAAAGACAACTCAATTCAGCTTAATGCTCCTAAGTATTGATGTCTGGAGAATAACACACCCCTGTTGCTCAGTTTACTCATCCAGTTAACTCCATCCCACAATCACCTGGCGATGGTGCAGGAATTAAACACAATTCATAGCAAAATTAAAATTCTAAAAGACTCAGAGGGCACTCAGATGCTTTTCCAAAGCCCCATTTTTCCCTTTGTTCTGTTCTGGCACAAGCATCCCCTGCAGTGAACCTGCTCCTTTGAAGTGGCCAGTGTGATCCTGCAGCACTGAGCTTCTGCTGGAACGAACACGCTGGTACTTGCAGCTCCTCAGAGCATTTTTCATTACCAAGAAAGACAGTAATCCACAGAGAGAAAGCCAAGATACTTATTTTTCTCCTGCACAGCATTGATCTAAGCAGCTGGCATTTCAAAAGGTTATTCTGCCTCGGAACAGTCCAAGCAACTGTGTTGACAGTGGCTTTGAAAATGGTCTGGAAGAAGGATTGTCTCCCAGATTTCTAATTTACATCCTCAGTTCTTTTACTTTTCTGTTCTGTACTTGCCTTCACCCCCACCCTCTTGCAGGAAACCCTGACCATCATCCCTGCAGCTGACAGCAGGAAGCCTTCTGGTACATTAATGCCATTTCAGGCAGGGGGGATGAGGAAGAAGCAGCATCATGCCTTGGCCACCAGCAATGCCATGAAAATGTACAATAATTACCATCAAATGGCCATACATTTACATTAAAACCTTTAAAGTCGGTCTCTGCAGGTAAGAAAAGATTTTAGGAAAGCAAAATAAGATGTGGCAGACCAGCTCTTGCTTCACAAATACCTTTCTTGGTCCAACTGCCAGAAGGTGTCATTGTTATCTCTGAGAATAATTAGTACATAAGACAGCTTGTTTCATCACCTCATGTGCCAAAGGCAAGACCTCTATGGATACAGACACTTCTGCCAAGCTGCACTGCCAGGTTTTTGTGTGTTTTTTTCAGGGTGTAAAAAGGCAGAGGCAGGTCATGATTATTGCTGTGTAATAAGAACATATAAAAATATAAACTCTGCAGCAATTACAGCTCGGGCTTGTTCCATACACTGAGCCCCTAAACCATGAATAAAACCTGTTTCACCTCAGAAATTACAGTGAAATGGTAAAAAAAGTGAACTTGTTCTGTACCTGCTGACAAACAACAGTAATGCAAAGGGATACCAAGTTCATCCATGCACTGGAGAGCAAATGGATCCCTCCACTGGCCCAATTACCACAGTGCTGGGAAACCAGCAGCTCAGATCACAGAGATTCAATTATTAAGTGCCTGACAAACAAACAGCAGATTTCAGCATCCCTCAGAAGGAGATATTCATTTCAGCTGTAGGAACAGCAAAACCCCTGAGATTACTGCCAAGGCTGATCAGCAGGGACAGAGCCTCTTGAATCCCTATCAAAATGACAGTAACACAACATAATATTCTCTGAAATACCCTCTCCAGAAAACAAAACACTCAAGCACCAACCACCTACCAGACAGAACAAAAATAAAAACTCAGCTTCAAGTAAGAGTAATATTGTATATATAAATACATATAAAACTTAATTAGCAGCAGCCTTTCATATATAAATGTCACATCAAGTATTTAAAAGTTAACAACCCTGCAAGACTCTTGTTCTCAGTAGTCCCATTTTTTACTGTCTGCAGCCCTGTTATTCCCAATTGCCCAGCAGCCATAAGGCATATTTTACATTTAATACTGGTTAGTCAGCTCAGGGAAATCATTTGTGAACACAAAAGGAAAGCAGCTTGGTTTTGACATCCTGCTGCGAGTCTGCTGGACATGAGGTTATAAAAAGCATCTTTATTTGGAAGCTGAGCAGATCTGATCTGAAAGTCTGGACACAAATGCAGGACTTCACTCAGCCCTTTTCAGGGTTCAGAACTGATGCAGCCTAAAAGTTTAATAACAGGAATGAGTAATACTACTGGAAGTGGAAAAGATGATGAACAAATGCCTCACACTCCAGGGACAGGATAATTGACAGGGTTAAAAGAAAAACAACCATGAATTTTTAAATTTAAGTGCATTCCATCCCATCCAATTTGCCAGTTAAAGTTTATAGTTCCATTGGTGTAGGAGCTACGTGCTCAATCTGAACAGAAACAAGATTTCATGAATGCTTTTCAGTCATCCTTGTTTGTAACAAACTGGGAGCACAGGGTGCTGGTGTTCCCAGTGCTCCTGCCTTGCCTGCTCAGGGAAATCAGGGTACAATAAGCAGGGACACGAATTTGTAGCACAACAGCCACATCACACCCACACATCCCATAAAAACACTTGACAAACAAAAGACTGAAGTTGTTTAATTCACTTTCAGGGTAAGGCTAAGCTGTACAAAGGCAATTGTGTACTCTGTCCTTACCCAGTGAGTTACAGGAGCTGGAATTCTCTATAAGGACACCATCTAATTCATTGTATACTCACTTCTGCATTAGAAAACCCACTCTGGACAATTAGTGACCACCTAGTCTAAGCTCATGTTGGAGCATATAAAGATTTCAACGTGTAATTTAAATTTTAAACAAACAAGTTTTACATCTCCTTCCTTGTCACAGCTACATGGGACAAAATTCTTAGTCTGGCAGGTCATCCTATAAAGCCCTTCCCTTCTCTTTTCTCAAGGCTTAGGAACAATATTTTGAGCTGCAGCAAACTGAACTGACCTGTTCTCTTCTCCAGGGAGCAAACAAGCCATATAAAGAGTACTGAGATGCCCAGCTGAAAAATGGGAACACACAAACCCAGCAGTCCTGGACATGGGGATTTAGGTGCAGCTTTGCTGAAGGCAGAGCCATCTGCATCCCACTAATCTTGGCTGAATTTGATTCACAGATTAGCTGGTTTCTTATTTGCTGCATACAAGTTTCTCTACAGACATCAGGTATCAATTAGCCTGGATGTTTAATTGGCACTGATATGTCAATCAGTGGCAGTGTGATTATCAAAGGAGAATATTTTCACTGAAGTGATTGTATTCCCATAGCACAAAACCTCAGGGACAGATCAAAGTCCAATTATCAAAAGGTACCTGCAGGGAAAACAAACCTGGATCTGCCAATTAGGTTGGGCACCAGGGATTTGTTGGCCAAAGAGTGTTTGAAAGGAATATGAGAGGCATAAGCCAGGTGGAAAATGGTGGCAAAGTGCATAATTGTGCAACAGTTTTGCTCCAGACATCTCTCCATCCCATTGTGAACAGTCACACCCCACCTCTTTCTTACCAGCACTGTTCTGGTAACATATGACAACACCATATGTCTCAGGATATATGCTGCAAATGCTGAGCTGCACCTCAGAAATTCATCTTTTCTTTCAACTTCAGAGGAGCAGATGTAAAGATGTGACTTTTTCCATGTTTGCAGTTTACCAGGGAGCTAAATTAAATCCCTGAGACCTGTTCCTAAAGCAACAAGGCAGCAAGAGCCTGAACTCAGCACTGTAAGGAGCTACCCCGTGACTGATTCTTTGCCTCTCTACTTGTGAACTGAAGATTAAAACAATTTCAGAGGAAAAACAAAACAAAAAACTAAGACAAAACACCTGCTCAGGCACCATCAAACCCCAGGGAATTCTCTAGAGAGTTAAAGGTCACTCCATGGAAGAATTGTTAAGAACAGATGATTTTCCACATTTCTCTCATGTCAACAAATCAGAGCTATTTCTTGTGCCCCACAACACCCCTGTGAGGTAGGTGAGCATCCTGTTCTGAGGGAGAAAGGAAGCAGTTTGCTCAAGGCTGCATATCAAACAAAAAAATCAGGAGCAGAACCCAAAAGGCCCAAAAGCTTCCAGAGATCTTAATCCATCACTAAACAATTCTGTTTTGTGAGATCATAAATTACATTTTTCTACGACAAAAAAACCCCACAAAACAAACCAAAATTTAAAAATCTGATGTACTGAAATGCAGGGAGGATAAAACAGGCATCACACAATGCTCAGATCACACTTACCTTACCAGTGCATCTGGTTTGCTTAGCTGGTTATTAGGAATACAATTTTCCATTAAGTCCTTATGTGTGCTCGGGCTCTTGCTGGCACATTTCTGTTTTTTCTCATTTTTAGTGGATGAGGAGGGGATGCTCCCATTAGTTGCACTGTGACTGCGAGGTGAGGAGTTCACAACTCCACTGACATTTTTGTAATTTTTGGACGAGGCAGTGCATGAGTCCTCTTTTAAGAGGTTTTCTGTACTTCCTACAAGATCATTATTTAATCTTTTACTATTGATATGGTTTTCCATATATTCAATTTCTTGTATTTTAGAGTCTACAGGTTGCAAAATATTGTTATTTATTCCAAGGTTGTGTTTCTTCGCATCCTTGTCCTTTTCTTTCCCTTTTTCTCTATATTCTAGCTCTGGCAACGTTGCAGATATTTTTTTATTGGCTGGAATGCCTCCATTGTGCTGCAGAAGTATTGAGGAATCCATATCGGATAATCCTTTGGCTGCTGCAACACCAAAGTGAGAAAAAAAAAATACTTAGTTCATTAAATCAATCAATACTTGTGACACAGAAAGAGAAATCATTGTGTACATGTCAGTCATTTCTGCAGAAAACAATAATTACTGGGGACTATCTAGGAAAGAAAATCTGAAGTCACGTGGTATTTTAAGACTTTTTTTTCCTTCGTTACAGGCAGGAAACAGTAACCAAGGGATTTAATAATAAATACTAATGCTTCATAGAACACTGCCTGACCAGATTAATGCAGTAGCTAGTAAAGAACTAAGCAGAGGGGACATAATTCACTTCTCCTGTCATATTAACCACTGCCAAAGTTATTTTATTTTTGGCTCCAAGTTCACTGCACTTGCAGCAAAACAACACGGGCTGAAGCAGCTCTTCCTTAGCACGTTTGGTGTTTGTCTTTTCTTTAAAGAGCAGAAAATAGAAAACACATTAAGTAAGAAGTGTAACTTGCCTTCCTCTGCCTCCCTCTCTTGCCTTTGCAGCATCTGCTGCTCTGGGGGCAGTGCTTGCTGCAGGAGCTGCATGTAGAACTCGTTCTCCTTCTGCACTTCTTTCTGTTTTCTTAAACGCATTTTGTAGCTGACGTAACTTTTAAAGCCAAAGCCCAAAGTCACAACAGGGTAGCCAATACTAAGGAAAAAAAAAAACCAAACCAATTATTACTCAAACTGTTAACCACAATAGCAAATTAATAAGTGATGTAGCTGTGGATGCATCTGGGTTACAACTTTTTCACAGACAATGATACGTAAAATGGTTTCTGAGGTACTACAATAAAGCTGCAGTTCAAAAATGTAGGCAGCTCTTTATCAAGATAAAATGACAGTTCATTACAGACAGCAATTAACTGTAGCATAGATTAAAGGATTACAACAATGCAATTGCACCAGGCATAGCAAAGACAGCTCTGAGACCAGCACCAGACTAGAATTACACATATTTTAAGGAAATAACAGCAAATACAGCAGTAGATCCCATGTTTTGTGCAAGACATTAAACTGGGAGATACTTTAACAACATTCATCCAGAACAGGGAAAGGAAAACTCATCCTTAGCCCCATCCTTTCACACACAGAAGGTAAGAGCAGATCCCTTTTCCACCGCTCTTCGAAGCTGAGACAAAACAACATTCTCCAAAACACCTCCTCTGCAAGAGGCCCTGTGACTCTTCCTGAGAAACAGGAGCTGGAGAAGCTGCTGGAACACAGAGCTTTGGGGCTACAACACTCCTGGGGGGACCAAGGCTGTGACCAGCCAGCCCTGGCACAGCTAAAGGGGACCACGGAGGCAAAGCTTCAGTGGCAAAAACATCTTCTGTGGGCAAGAAACGGTCTTTGGAGATTCCTCATTTAGGAGACTGACCTTGAAGCTGGAGGCAAAAACCATCTAATCCCTAAACTTAGTTCTTCCACTTCTCTCACTGACAGGTAAGACATGAAGAATTTCACTTCCAGCCAGGCCTGGCTGTTCCATTTGTTGATGGGAACGACAGAACTTTGGAATGGTATTTTTGCATATCAGCTTCATCACAGAGAATTTAAGTGTTCTTATTAGCTTGTGACAACTGCACCAACACAGAATGCTAACAAATCATGCCCTGTATCTATTAGCAGAGGTGCTCCATCAAGGAGCAAACATAAATCAATAAAAGTAAATACATGTCTGACAAGAGTTTTACCAAAGCACAGTCGTGTTTTAAACACTGAAGGTGTCCTAAATCACGGGAAAACTCAGATACACATGGCTATTAACCAGATGACTATTAACCATTAGAACCTTCTCAGTCACAGCCCTGTGCAAATTGTATTTCTAAGTGAGCTGCCAGAATCATTTGCATCTGCATCTGACATTATCTCTGCCAATGCCTCTTTTGTAATGTCGTGTAAAACCAGCTGTGGCTGCAGCTCCCAAACTCTGATGACAAGCTCAGATGTTTGCATCCAATTCAGCAGCAGAAAGACCTTCCCTCACAGCCCCTAAAGTGCTTTTGCAACCTATTACAGAATGCAATTGGTGTTTAAGGGATCTGTTGCACAATGTAGACAATATAAATTAAAATGACAGATGTCTAATTTATGGGAGAAGTGTCACAGGGAACTGGACCAAAGGATTCCAGGAAAAACAGGAGACATTTTAAATGTAGATCAGTGCATACTACACCAAAAACTGTGGAATAAAAGTGCATTTCTCCCAGAGATGGATACTCTGCAGTTAAGGCTTTGTCCTGAAATCACTCTTCTCACCTTCAAAGAAGAGTTGTAATAAATTGTGTTTGGTTTTTTTTCTGTTTTATTTTCTGTCATGATTCTCAACATGAAGCTTATTCACAGCTTCTGGTGCATTATTAAATCAGACACTCATGAGAACCTTTCTCAGGGAAAAAGAAGAGTGCTTTGTCACAGAGAAAGAAGATTTCCATAACAATTTCATAAATTATCAGGGAAACCTATTTCTTTTGTAACTTTTATCACCATGTATTCACTATGTGAACACAAACTTTGTAAAGTGATGGCAAGAATTTTCAAGAAATGCTTGGAATATCCATGTTACAAATTCCCTACAGCTCACAAACACTGTATGCTCAGAAGGGTTACCCTGGGTCCACATTTACATACATTTCTCATGGAATATGTAATGACAGCCAAACCCTGAACCAAAATAAAAGGCCCTGATGATTAATTTTCCTGGTGAAATAAAGGTTAATAAGAAAAGGAGAAAAAAAGACCCACTTACCAGTGTGCTGCAAATGGACGACAAAGGTCTACGTGGAAATTTTTTAAATCTTTAAATCTAATGGCTGCTTCAATATAAACAAAAAGTATCCACAGTGATACTGTTGGTAAGCACACCCCCCTCTCTATTGAGAGAAAAAGAAACGAGAGAGAAACACTTTAGTAACATATTATAATCAGCAAATATTTTAAAGTTGTTTTTGAAACATTCCAAAAGTCAAGGGAAATTTTCAGACAGATATATAGGGAACTTTAAGAGGTTTCTCCTTCAGAATAAAGCATCTAGGCCATCTCTATTTTACACCAATGTAAACTTTTCACTCCTTATCTTGTTTTATTACTTTTAAAAGGCCTCAGTGAAAAATAACAGATGCACAGCTAATGAAATAGGTTGGCACAAGGAACACGAGTGGAAGAAACTGCACAAGATGAGGTAATGGTACAGCTCATGATCTTTGAGTCAGAAGTGGGGAGCTTGGACTACTTTCTCACTCCAAGTTGGGTATATCTGAGCAGCAGCAGTGAGCAAATCAGCTGAGAAAACAGTGAGTAAGCCCAGCACTGGTTACTCCATATACAGTCATGCAGAGAACACTCTGCAACTCCAAACTCTCCGTCAGGGAACACTTGGGACACTGGAGTCACTTGTCCCTCCAGCACCAGTGGGGAGGATGTAAAAGAGGAGTCAAGCAAAACTGAGCTCTTAAAGCTCTTGGCCAGTGGAAAATGCCACAGGGCTGCAGATTTCCACAAATCAACACCAGTTGTGAGCTTCATAAAAACAATCACAGAATGGTTTGGGTTGGAAGGGAAGTTAAAGGTCACCCAGTTCCACTCCCTGCCCTGGGCAGGGACACCTTCCACCAGCCCAGGTTGCTCCAACCTGGCCTTGGACACTTCCAGGGATGGGGCAGCCACAGCTTCTCTGGGCAAGCTGTGCCAGAGCCTCCCCACCCTTCCTTCCCAATATTGTCACTCCAGGCTCTTGTAAATAAACCAAGTTCTTGATTACATTCAACATACTGTGTGTTGGTTTGCAAACAGGTCTCAAATTTGAAACTGAAATAGCATTAATCTGAGGCCCTGAAATCATCAGAAATGAAAAACCTGGGGGACAAATTGTCAGCTTAAAGGGACTCAACGTTTCAGCAGCGTGCACCCAGAACCATGGAATGGTTTGGGTTGGAAGGGACCTTAAAGATTCCACCTAAAAAGATCATAACCTAAAAAGAGCAAGTTCCCATCGACTTAAACGAGCATTTAAAAAGAATAATTCCTAACAGTGTCATGAATTAACATATTAAACAATCTCAATAGCTACAGTTAAATCTGGCCCATCAGGTTTTTCCCTTTAGGGTTTCTAATCATCAACCCTGAACAACTTCAGATAAAGCTTTAACACATTAATACAATTCTAAAAATAACTCCAGATTCTCCACGTATTTGAAATTGGGCAACAACTGGTTCACAGTACCTTCCATCAGCTCCCACACTGCCATTATTAGAAGTGACTAAGTTGTCAGAAAGCTGACTGAGAAATGATCCACACTACCCTGCAAACTCCTGGGATCTCATGGCAAGTCTAACAGGAAACACTACAAAAGCCTCAAATCCCAAGGATTTGGGTAGTGAAAAGCTACCTCTAAAAAAAAACAAATTAAAAAAAAATATCGAGTTTTATTCCTAAAATCTTTTTATTTTGGGCAAGATATACAACAGCGCTCTTGCAAACTAAACCATCTCCCCCCAGTTCAACTGCTTCATCCAAACCCAAGGATTTATTAAAACAAACTCAAACAACTAAGGAAAAAAAGGGCAGCAGAGAGGGAGAAGAATTCTCCATATTTGTCTCAAACTGTCAGGGCAGGTACTGGTATCACCAGCCTTTTTCTCAGAAACTAAATCCAGCTGACACAAAGATTTGGCTAATAAAAATTTAAACTATGACCACTAAAACAACTAATATTTTAACATTAATAACTAAATAGCACACTAATTGACTAGTAGGAAGAACATAACACTATGCTCTGTATTTATTGAATTGCTGCAGGAGAATTTTGAAGTCAGGAAAGTATTTAACTGCTCTGGAATTCCTGTTTATACCCCTTCAGTTACCCATTATTTAAAATGCACCCAGATGTGCATCAAGTGCAAACCAAAAAAGCAAAAAGAACACTTTTAACTACAACAAAACTGCATTAAAACAAATGTGGTAATAAAATGCACCTTACTAAAAGCTGTGAGATGCCTTTGAATCAGGAAGTTGTAAATAAAGAACAGTGACCTACCTGTGTGCCAGACATACTGTACCCAAACATAGGTGCTGGCAGCAAAAAACAGCCACTGGATTGGTATGAAGAGCAGACAGATTATATTTGATGTGAATGCTACACAAACAAAAAATACTGAGAAGGCCTAAAAGAAAGGAGGGGTGGGGGAAAGAAGAGTGGTTTGGTTTATTCCAGGAAAAATAACCAGTTTATTAACAGTGAAACAATGATTTTAACATAGAAACACTGGTGCTGTTTATAATCAAGGAAAAAAACGGAGCAGTTTGGCCAAAGAAAGCAGAAATTTGAGCAATTGAGAGAGAACAGGTACAAATTTGTGCCCATCCACTTTTCCAGCAAGTCTCCAAACAGTTAAATTTATCCCTTCTTATTTTGTTTGAACACTTTAACTCACACTGTTGATCTATAGTAGAATCACAGGTATATTCTCCTTCTAGAAAAGAAACCACCCACCCAACCCACTATCAGGGCCATTTACTCTCTGAAAAAGCAGTAAATATCTAAACTGGCAAGTTTCTGTTTTATTTTAAAGAAAACCCTGCTATCTAGGCTTATATATATATGGTTTTATATATATATATGGCTATATATATAGGTTTTAAGAGAGAGAAAGGGCTATATTTTTTATGTCTATCTATGTGTATATATATATACATATATATATACACAAATATATATAGGGTTATAGATGTATATATCTCACTAATTCAAATCCAACTTAGTAATTTAAAATATATTTTTCTATGGTGAAAATTTGATATATATTTCACTTGCACTTGCCACAGATCAAATATGCAGTCAGAGAGAAGAGACCTGAGCCCAGGGCACCCAGTCACTTGAAAATCTTGTGAAGTGGATGATCATCAGTGCCATTAAGCCACTTGTATAAGAAGGAATATTCCCTGAAATCTTGGGAGATTTCCCTTCAAAGGGACTTTGTGTTATACTCACCAAACCCTGGTATCTGAAGGAATCGTAAACACTCCTGATGAAGAGCCAGAATGGCCACAGATACTCAAATCTGAACTCCAGGACAAAATCTGCCAACAGCACAAGTGCCCACACCACCAGGAACTTCAGGTACAGGAAAGTACTGGGGGGGAAAAAAGGAAAAGGTAATTTCAGGTCAGTATTTCCAATAGCAAAACTTACTTTCATTTTAAATATTTTTTTTAATTACATGTTCTTCAGGAACAAAACCTATTATAAAAGAAGGGAAATTTCATCCAAACTGATTTTATAAAATAAGTGGGTTTATTATGACGTTAAAATCAGGCCTGGTCTAATGAAGTTGAATATTTAACTGCATTTATTCTTCAAGCAGCAAATAAACAGAAGGCTCACTGCTCTTACAAGACATCCAGCAACAGTCTCCCTTTTGCTTTCCAGAGCATTTTCACAAAGTGAAGCCTTGCCAACAGGTATGGGATCAGCTGAAATGGGAGCTCAGAAATTTCTGTGTTTCCTCTCCTCACCAGACTGCAGATGTTCACTCCTTTTCCACATTTAACACCAATAAACTGAGATATATTTTAAGCCTATAACTACAGCCATCAGGAAGCCTGTTTTGATAGTGAGTTGTCAGTGTTATGTTTGAAAATGTCTGTATCAATATCAATGGATCCATTAAAAAACAAATAACAACAGAAAAACTGAAAGGCTTGAGACCAGACAGCCTAACTTCTATTTTTTAAAATTATTTCAAAGCCACATCCCCAAATTCTTAGTCCTGCATTTTGAACCATTGATGGCTACAGAGCTCAAAAATATTCTGAGCTCATACCTAACTAACACTTGAGGGATCAGCCCAATCCATTCTTCTAAAAAAGAAGCAGCAAAAACCCCTTTTCCCCCAAAACCCAGAGATCCAGCATGTCACTCCAACTGCCCAGTACCTCATTGCACTCTCCTGGGTCATAACAGAAATGGGGGCTTAAAAATACATTTTTGTTTTGCAGTTTTTCCTTTCAGTAACTTCTTCTGCCAACAAAACCAGGAGAACTTTGCCCTGGAATGTTCACTGATAAGCTGCCAAGGGTTTGCACTCCCAGTGCCAGGTAGGGTCAAGTTTCTGCACTGTTCATGGACATGGAGCTTTTTTAGGAAGTTGTTCAGAGCTTTGGATAAGATAGAAAATAGAAAACTTCCATGGGGAGTGTTGGGGACCAGCAGAGGTTCAGAAACAACCCAACTCCTCGTGCAATTATCACTCATGTTACTTGTCACACAAGGTCAGGTTCCAGATCCCACGACTGGGAGAACACTTGGATTTCTTGGGAATCAAAGATTAATTGCATGTGCCTGAAAGTGACCCTTATCAGCTTAATGGCACTGAAAAAACAAAGCAAGAGGCTACAGGAAGCACTTTAATTTAATGGAAACAAAATTAATGACACACACACTTGGAAAAGTTAAGGTGCTGCTTTTTTCAGTTTTCATGGAACCATTCCCAGCCACTTAGTGAAAAATTACTCTTTGAGAAGAATGAAACTACAGTAGAAGTATTAAAAAAACTCCTTCAAACCCAGTGAACAAAACCCAACCAACCAAAGCCCACCAAAGAAACCCTAAATGGTCAAGTCCTGGTAGATAAAGCCTGCACATGCTGCTGTTCTCTGTTTATCTGAAGTTCAGATCTTCAACAGAAATCTATAAAAAGCAGCTGCATTCAGAGAATACTCTGACATTAAAGGTGACAGGCATTGGGGTACAGAGTCACCACTCTGCTCACACTGAGCATGCTGGGGAACTGTGCATGTGCAGCTTTTTAAAATTTGAGGAAATATCTAAAAGAATCCCAGCCAGGCAATCCTTATTCTGCCTGTTTTGCTGCAAAAGCAGTTGTGTTGTGCAGGCACCTTTCCCTGGGTTAAACTGATGGCCAGTGTTTATTTTCCTGCCACTGAAATCCATGAGGAGACTACATGTTTCCAAGCAAATTAAGGCTGTCAGAACTAATGCTTCTCCACTGTTAAGTGCCACTCTAAGTTAAAGCATTTGCTGAATAAGAGTTCTGTAATACAGCCATTAAAGTGATTTCTAATATTAAATTCATATCCATCCAGGGGCCACGGTGACATTTACCACCTTTTAAAGTGGAATTGGAACAATACAACGTTTGTAACAAGGTTTTGCCAACAATATTAAAGAGGCTACTTCTCAGTCATCTGAAGGACTCGAGAGCAATTCAGAATTCCATGAGTACAAAGACACAAGAAAGTTACTCCTTTTATAAAAGAGTTCATCCACTTATGTTGGCCTCAGCAACAAATTCACTGCTGTGTAATATATTCTACACACGTCCTGAACTCTTTGATTCTACATGCAGACATTCACAGAAATCAATTTAAAGGTACTACATTCCATGAATTATTTGGGTTTTTTTTTTTACACCAGCCCCTCCAACTAAAGCCACAGCACTGCAGGGTCAGAACTCAACGCTCCAGCCCGGCTTTAAAAACTGATATTGGCATCAGGAGCCTCCAAAGAGGGTGTTCCAAACTGCAGAGCTCCCCCGGTGCCACCGGTGCCATCCAGCTCGGTGCCTCTGCCGCACTCTGCAGCCTGCAGAGGGAATGAGCCTCGGGAGAGGAGGGAGGCTCCCAAATCTCAGCATCCCTGCATCCCTAAAGGTGTGCTGTCCTGGCAAGCACGGCAGCTCAGCACTTCATTTACAAGTGAACTGACACCTCGCCAGGGAAGGCTTAAATTAGTGAGAGCTGAAATACGTCCAGCAGGAATTAAACCCCGAGAAAAGCAGGCACAGGGCCCTGGTTTGACAGGCTGATCCCTGCTGCTGTTCTGCCTCAGACAGCACCATTCAAACAGCATCACATGAATGAAACAACTAACAAAATATAGCAACAGCCTCCTCCCTTCCTCTGCTTTGTACCAGCCACTTCTACTGCATCTCTGCTCTTGAATCCCTTGATTCCTTCCAGACACAGGCATTCCTGTTGTTATCCATCTCCTCTGGAATCCAGCACCAGCCATTTGGTGCCTGGGAACCTCTGACAGTCATTGATCTCCTGGGTACATCACACATTTCTCCAATTCTGATCACTGCTGTGCCTGCCCCCACTCCCAGATAACACTCACCAGGCTGAAATGCTTCCTAACCCCTGTAACCTTTTTATTAGAGAGGCTCAAATATATTCCACGATGCCAATTATAATTCTGAGTTGGTTCTTAATACAGGGAAAGATTCTTGCAGACAAATACCTAAAACCTGGGTTATCCAATTTTCTGACACGTGTCAAAAAATCTGGCCTTGGTGACCTGACAGAGGTTTAAGGACAGGGCTCTCCCTACAAACCAGCATATGGCATCTAATCCTGTGGGGTAATAAAGGAAAAGAGGGAAGGATCCATGAGAGGAGCAGGGCACCAAACGGGGAGGAGCAGTGATTACAGTGCTGCAAATTCTCTGAGAGGTCAATTGATTGCTAATGTACACTGAATATAAAGATTTATTCATAACCCAACAGTGGCTGTGCTCCCCCTTTGCATTTTCAAACAAATAATTTTCCTCCTTATTCTTCCTCCCCCTTCAAGTGCCAGATGCCATTTCCTTTCTTTTTTTCCCCCCTCCTTTTTTTTTTCCCCTCTCTTGTTCTTTGTTCTCTTTTTACTGCCCCCAAAACAGATATTGTGCTTGCTGTAAGGTAAAAATATTGCAAAAAATCACTAGAAAAGGAACCAATTATGCACCCCAAACCCAAAGTGGTGGCAGATTAAGCCTCCATTCTATCCCACTATTATCAGCAAGGCCCAAGGGCCGGAAAGGGAATGTTGGCAGAACTGATGGCAGGTTTCATTTTGCAGCCTGACTCATCCAAGACAATGGAGTGGGTGCCAAACTCACAGGTAGGATTCAGAAAGCTGAAATTTAGCATTTGTGTGGAATCACCAAACAGGTAACAACCCCCCCCCTCCAGGTTACCCATCCAACACCAGCCACAATACTGAGAATGCTGGAGATTTGCAAATACAAAAAAAGCTTTATATCTGCAAACACACAAATACATCTATATAAGATTATTACTGGTGGACAAAAGAAGCAGGACAGAATGAGCACAGCAAGTATGCAAGGGAGAAAACAGGACTGCTGGGATGTGGTATGTGTACTGGAAACTATCATGGGAGATCCCTGCCAACCAAATATTTGGAAAGGAAGAGAAATGTAAAGAATCCCAGAAAACATCCCTGACTACTTATTCAGTGTCTTGGCATAGAATATACCCATTACTGAACTATGGAAGTGTAAGGAAAGGAAGACAAAATAGAAAATTCTTACAGCAGTTCTGGAAGCTGAAGCACAGGGATATAATCAGCAATCAGCATTGTGGTGCTGAAACAAGAGGCACTGTCAGCCTGAAAACACCAGTGTCCAGAACACAAAATAAAGCTAAAGGAGCCACAGTGAGTGCAGGGAGTGAAAGTCACAGGCAGAGGGAAGTGATATTACATGTACCATTGGGGTTGACACAGTAGAACACATTTAAATGTAGGCTAAATTAGATTTGAGACCTGGATTTAAGTTCAAGTCATAAAAGGCAGCTCTGCTGCTTTGTTACAGACCTCCGGGGCAGCAGCAGAAGAAAATGTTTTATCCTGTATAGGAAGCTTATAAAAAAAAAAAAAAAAGGTGCCAGAATAAATCAGCAGGAAGAATCATTATGGATTTTTAAGAAAAGCCTAAAAAAGCCACATTCCTGGAGGTAGTAATGAACTGCTACAGTTTATTTGGCTGTCAGCAGAGTCAAAAAGCGAGTCCCTGGAAATCAGCCCTGTCAGGATTTCGGTGGCAGAGGGAACCAGGAGGATCCTGAGGGTCGTGGTATCCAAAATTCTGCCCTTGTGCCAGTGGTGGGTATCTCAGGACCACTTGGAGATCAGACACACACACACACCCACCCCTCCTCCCTGGCACCCTCTTGGCTGCCAGCCCAGGTACTGCCTGTGATAAAGAGCAATTTACATCCAGAGCTAAAGAAAAAAATCCTGATTCCAAAGGAACATGCAGCTTTTAAGGGCCATTGTCAGGGAATCCATGATGCAGCATCAATCAGCTGATGTGACAGCCTAAGTTAAAGCAAATCACATGTGGAATTCATCTTGAAACTTCACCAGCTACAAAATTGGTACCAAGTGCCAATATGACTCAGTAGAGCCAAAACAAGCAGTATCAGCAATAAAGCTGAAGGATTTTAAATAGATGAAGGATGAGGACTGGGAAGAGTTAGGAACAAGCAGTAACAAGTAAACCTTAATTGCTTAACTGATGACAAGCTGCAGTGAACACTTTAATTAACAATTAAGGTTTTAATGTGTGCACACTGCCAAAGGTATAAGATGTTAATCACTTCAGCATTTTTCAGCTATCCATTGCCATTGTTCTACAAATGAACAGGCAAAGGTTGGAACACACACTGTGGAAAATAATAAAAGATCTCAAGATTCCTACCATTAGTATGTTGGGTTTGGAGATCTATTGAAAGCACAGTTATTTCTGATTATATTAATGTTCTTTCCACAGATACTGCAATACTTCCAAATAGCAAAAGTCTTTGCACATAATATTAGAGTAGGATTTATCAAGTTTGTCACACAGGCCCAAGTACCTTAGAGCTGTAACTAGGGAGCAAAACCAAACTGAAAAGAAAGAAGGGGTAAAAAAGGAAGAAAGGAGAAGGAAGAAAAAACAGGTGAATGGAAGAAGAGGTCTAAAGAAGAATAGGGAGGGCAGCTGTTGAAAATTGGGAGGGGAAGGGGGGAAGATTGGTCAGGAGTAACTTTGAAAGCATTTATGAAGGGCTGAGGCCAAACAATCCATTTAATTTAGGTAGTGAATGGTGGGGAAAGTATTTTAAAGAACAACACTGTAGGCTGTGAACCCTTAGATCAACTTGTTAAAAACAACACTCCACAAAGTGGCAAAAATTAACCTTCAGGGAGGCAGGTTATTCACATTTTTCAGTGCAGCCCAGGATTTTGTATTTCTAACTCTGTTCTGTGACTAGAAATTATTTTTCTATCGCTTCTTAAAACCTGCTGCAGGTTTACACGTGCACCAGAGCTTCACTGCAGGACAATTCCTTCTTTGCTTCACCTGCTCCAAAACTCTTCCAGTTTCCCAGCTCTCAACTACGCTCCCACGTGTCTGTTAGTGACAGCTGCTTTCAAAGACTGCAGAGGGAACAAGGATGGGAAGATTAGTCTTAATTTAAAAAGCAAACAAAAATCCTACAAGAGTTAAGTATCCCAATCCTGCTGTTTGCTCAGCCTCGCTGCTTTGCTTATAACACCATGATGGGACCTCCTGATAACTGTATTTACTGGGCCTGTGTTAGCTGATGGTGACAATTAAGATAAGCTGAGTAAATAACTACAGTAATTACATGAATTTAGGCATCTATAGTTCCGTGAGAAGTTACCTGCATGTGAGCTCTTTGAATTATGGGGGGCAAAGAGAAAAAAAAAAAGGAGAAAAAGCAAAAGGAAAGCAAGAGAAATAAGAGAAAGAGCCACAATCCATGTGGAAGCACCTCCCTCTGGTTAGGCTTACAGAGAAGAGCCTTCACACTATTTCTCTTTTCTTTCTGTGTGCTAATACTTTGAAGACACTGGTTATTTCTGTTTATCAAAATGCCACGTGAAACAAAGACTAAAAATCCCATTTCTGCACTGTAACATTCCAGGAGAAGTTTGTGCAAGAAGCCAGAGCTGTTCACACACCTACAGCAGCTCTACCTGCTGCACACACTCATCACCTGCTGCTCTTCTCATCTTATTCTGGTTTGCCCTCCTTCTCTCAACCCCACCTTCCCTGCCAGTCACCTCAAAGGCACATCATTGTGAATGACTTCTGAAAACTAAGTAATTATAAGCAATTCCTTACATATCTGAATTATTCTCCCAAGACCAGTCATCTAGAATGTGAATTTCTACACAAGGGATGTTGTTCTTTACAAGCAGCATTTTCTCAAAACCTGGAAGTCTAAAACAAGGGGTTTTAGAGTGCTCTCGTGTAGAGATTCACTACAAGTAGGATAAGCAGCACACTGTGACAATTTTATTCCAGTCAGAGCTCCCTATCAGCTGTTTCCTTTATGCAAAGTTAACATCTGAATTGTATGAGCTTGCTCAAGTTTCCAGGCTCTGCATACATCAACCTCACCGAACTAGAAACAGAAATGGGCCACCACACTTACTACAACTTTCACAAGGCAGCTTCAAAGCCTCTTCTGACCCAAACTCCTCTTTATTCACAAATACATAATTGTTGTATTTCGTATAAAGTTTTGCGTACTCGGGAGGGCAGAGTTGTAAAAAACTCTTCAAAATAAGCTCACAACTGTGCTGGAACTGCAGGGATCAGTGTTTTAGTGCATTCTGCATGCAAACACCTGGAAAGCATTCCCAGACACATCCCACGTGAACCTCACTTCACTACTACTCCTTTTCTCATCCCAGAGGTCAGAGATGAGCTGGGTACCTGCTGTGGTCCCACCACCACCAGACCATCCACCCCTGTTCCAGGCATCTCCCACCCAAATTCCTGCTCACAGCCCTCACTGCTACACCCCAGGCTCTCATGTGCTCCCACTGCAGACCTGCAGCACAGGCACCCCCATCACCACGTGAAAAACAACTTTCTTAACCTTTGCACGAGAGGGCTGAGCCACCAGCCCAGATGTTCTCCTGCTCCACCAGCTGCTGAACCACTGCAACGTGTGGGCTCTGAGCTTTGGCACCTCTGGGAATGCCCAGACATGAGATCCCACTGAGGAACCTCCCCAGGGAGAAACAGGTGAAGCTGCAGCAAGTAACTCAGAGCTTTGGAACCTCTGGGAACCCCCAGCTGGGAAAACCTCCCCGGGTGAAGCTGCAGGGTGAGGCTTGGAGTTTTGGCACCTCTGGGAAGCCCCAGACATGAGACCCCACTGCAAAACTTCCCGGGGGAGATAAAGGTGAAGCTGCAGTGAGTGGCACCTCTGGGAACATCCAGCTGTGAGACCCTGCTGGGAAAACCTCGCCAGGTGAAGCTGCGGGAGCTTTGGCACCTCTAGGAAGCCTCAGACATGAGACCCCGCCGGGAAACCTCCTGGGGGAGATACAGGTGAAGCCGCAGCGGGTGGCTCTGAGCTTTGGCACCTCTAGAAATGCCCGGCTGTGAGATCCTGCTGGGAAAACCTCCCCAGGTGAAGCCACAGCCAGTGGCTCGGAGCTTTGGCACCTCTGGGAACCCCCAAACACGAGACACCCCCCTCGCCCGGGGGAGATACAAGTGAAGCCGCAGCAAGTGGTTCTGAGCTTTGGCACCTCTAGAAACGCCCAGCTGTGAAGATCCTGCTGGAAAAAACTCCCAGGTGAAGCGCAGCGCACGCTGCGGAGCTTTGCACCTCCGGGTAACCCCAGACACGAACCCCCGCGCGGAGGCCCCCGGGCCGTGCGGGTGAAGCCTGGCAGCGAGCGGCAACCTCCGGGACCCTCCGGCCTGCGAGACCCCGCCGAGCTAACCACCCCCGCGGGAAGGGTCGGGGGACAACACACGGCGAAGGCCTCCCGCCGCCGTGGCGCGAACCCCCCAGGCGGCTTTCTCTCCCCCCGGCAGCACCTTGGCCAGCAGCTCCCCCGGCCCGAAAGCCCGCGGGGGGGCCCGCGGCGGTGGCGGGGCCGCTGTGAGGGAAGTTGTGCGGGGGGGTGACAGGGCCGCTGTCCCCGCGCCGCTCGTACTGCCGTAGATGCCCCTCGGTGATGCGGTTCCTGCTTGATAGCGGTCCCGCCGGGGGCAGTTTGCTGCCGTCCGCGCTCCGCGCTTCATCCCGACCGGCCCGGGCGCGGCCCGCCGCCCCGCTCACGCAGCACATCCGCCCCCGCGCGGGGGTTCGCGACGCGGCTTCTTGTTGTTTTTTTTTTTTTATTATTATTTTATTTTTCTTCTTTTCCGGGTCTATATTTTTTTTTTTAATTTTATTTTATCCTTTCCTTCACCCCACCTTTTTTTTTTTTTTTGTCCTTTTTTTTTTTTTGCTCCCGGGAAACAACGAAATAAAATATAATTCCTGGGTCCCCGTCCCCTCCCCGCCGCGTCCCCCCTTCCCTTGCGCAGATCGGCGGCGCAGCGCCCCGCCTCCGCCGGCGCTGGCTAATCAAAGAGCTGACCCTGCCTGAGTGACAGGGTTTGTAACCAATGATCAGCGTAAAAACGCAGACAGACGGCCCAGTAAACCAATCAGAACGCCGGAAAGTTAGTTCCGCCTCGTGCTGTCGCGCGACGTGCCCACCCCCTTGATTGACGGCCGCGGAAGCCAGTCAAACAGAAGGGTTTGTGATTGACGGCTTTTCCAGCCAATCGCTGCACGGATTTTGGTCTCCGCCCACCCACTGTCCTACCGGGCTGGTTCCCGCCCCGCGTGGTGACCGACAACGAAGCTGCCCAATGGAAGAGGAGCACAAAAATAAAAGGACAGCTCAGCCATCCACTCGGAAACGGAAGAAGGAGGGCCCAATTTCCTCTGTCACCCTAGCCCCGAGGTACCGCCCCTCACGCTTGATTGACAACCTCCCTGGCAAATCGGCTGCTGGGAAAAGGAACGCTAAGTCCCAGGCGCAAAGGCAAGCGGCGGCAGCTTGTGCCGCCCGCACAGAACGACCTCTGCTAACGGCCCGCCGGGGGCAATATAACCCCGCGGGGTGACTGATGGGCAGCTCCGGCCAATAAGCAACGCACACAGCTGAGTGACAGGCGAGCGCTCCAATCGCAGCACAGGACGCGAGGCCCGAAGATGGGGATAGGCCAATCAGAGGCCGGGAGGAGCCGGCGCTCGACCAATGGGAGAGCAGTTCCTAAGGGCGCCTGTGGGGAGGGGGCGGGCGCTCAGCCAGGGGCGGGGCGGGCGTGTCCACCGCTGCCGAGTCGGCCGGCAGCGGCGCCGCACCTGGGCTGCGGGTTCGAAACCCGGCAGGGGCTTCTCCGCGCCCTGCAGCGCTCCCGCCTTACGGCCCTGTAGAGCCCCCTCCCGCGGCCCCGTCGGTCTGTGGAGCCGTGAGGGAACAATGGCGGCGCCGCGCCTGAGGGAGGCTGGATCGCGGGCTGGGCCCGCCCGGCCCGGCTGGTGGCGGTGCCCAGGACTGGGCTGGGCCGTGGGCCTGCCGGGCCTCCCTGGGGATAATGGGCCGCCCTGGGGATAATGGGCCGCCCTGGGGATAATGGGCCGCCCTGCACAAGGGTGGGCGGTGCTGGGCTGAGTCTGAGCAGTGCGGGGCTCCGCACAGCGTTAAAACTGGCCCAGGAGGCTGCCCGGCCCTTGGCTGAGTCATGGGGGTGTTGTGGTGGTGCAGCTCTAATTTAGAAACGTGGAGTCACGGGATGGTTTGGGTTGGAAGGGACCTTAAAGCTCATCCAGTCCCACCCCCTGCCATGGGCAGGGACACCTCCCACTAGCCCAGGTTGCTCCAAGCCCTGTCCAACCTGGCCTTGGGCACTCCCAGGGATGGGGCAGCCACAGCTTCTCTGGGCAAACCTATGCCAGGGCCTCCCCACCTTCACTGGGAAGGATTTCTTCCTAATATAGGAGTTATTTTGTGCATCACCCTGTCTGAGATCACCGAGCTTTGGTCTCTCTGTTTGGGAGGGAGTTTAAGTTGTGAATCTGAGTATCAGCTTCACGGCGTGGCATGTCATCCTGAGGGAAAACGTGGGTAAATTCCTCGCCTTTGGTGTGTTTTCCCTGAGTGTTAACACTGATGGGATTTAGAGCTCACTGTGTTCATTTCACCCTGGTGAAATTGTGGATGGAGTTCTGGGTCATTCTGGGTATGAGTCACAGAATGGTTTGGGATGGAAAGCACCTTAAAGCTCATCTCATTCCAACTCCCTGCCATGGGCAGGGAACCTTGGAGTCCAAGGATTTGGATTATTGTACCCTATATCCTGGTTTGGCAGGAGGAATGTCCTAAAATTAAGGTATACTGGGAATTTCCTGCATATTTTTTTTTTTCTAGTAGTTGTTTCTGTCACCAGCAGGTGGCTTTATACCCATTTCTGGGCACATTTATACCCGTTTCTGGGTACTGTTGGTGTCTCAGCTCAGCCCTCAGTTTGCAACGGCCTCAAAGCAGAAAGTCTGAGATGTGGTTAAAATCCTTTAGTCTGAACAGCCTGAATAAAGAGGGTTCAGTTTACCAGAAGCACAGTGGATACTGAGGGGATACAAATGTTCCTTCCAGTGCTTAAAGTGGCCTTATAAAAAGGAGGGAGAGGGACTTTTTATACAGGCAAATAGTGACAGGACAAGGGGGAATGGCTTTGAACTGCCAGAGGGCAGAGTTGGATGGGATATTGGGAAGGAATTCTTGGCTGTGAGGGTGGGGAGGCCTGGCACAGGTTGCCCAGAGAAGCTGTGGCTGCCCCATCCCTGGAAGTGTCCAAGGCCACTGAGCCTCTCAACAGGACCTTCCCCACCTTTCTACAAAGGGAATTGGGTCCAGGGTGGGCACCAGCAACGTAAACAAATAATGGTTTTGCATAAACTACAGCATCCTGCTCTTGGGAATCCGTGTTCTCCTCTCTTGCCTTTGAGCTGAGCTGCAAGGCTCACCAGCAGCTGGAGCCCTGGATGGAAGGTGTCCTGGAGCATGGAAGGTGTCCTGGAGCATGGAAGGTGTCCTGGAGCACGACAGCACTGGCAGTTGGATGTATCTCCATTCACAAGCAGTTCTTGGGTTCAGTCCATGTCTGCTGTGGTAAACTGGGGCTCCTGACGTGCCACAGATAAGGAACTGTCCCTTGCCAACGCCTCCTGGGCTTTTTATCTCCCTTTGGGTTTTTATTCCTGCCACCCCCCCCAAAACCTCCTTTGCTATTGGTTTGAGGTTACTGGAACATTTTTATAGGAAAAAGAACACATTGATGTGTTTGTGCCTGATGTAGTCGAGTGCACGATGTCTTCCAGCTACCTCAACTTCCGACACAGCGTTCCCTGGCTCATCCTCCTGCTGGAAGTTCTTTTCCTCACCCGCTCTTACTTTCTCGTCTTAGAACATGATGGTCTGTACTGGCTGTACAGCTCCTACCCAGGTAAGACTGGCAGACTTGCTGGGAAAGGAAGGATAATCCCTGCTCCTGTTGTGCTGAGCAGCAGAGGTGGGATTCAGTGAGGAGCAGAGTGTTTTTACTGCCCTTTAAACACCCCACCTTGCCTGGTGTGGTGGGAATTTATTTATATCAAAGCAGTGGCAGTGAACCAAGAGACAGGTGATGCTAAATTGCATTTTTGGTCTGTTTTCTGCTACCTGTTTGGGGCAATCTTGGCTCCATGGAGGTGACTCTGCTCCGTGTTGAGTCCCTGTCATGTTACAGAACAGGGAACTCGGGATGGCACCACTTTCCATTTGAATGCTTGGTGTAAATAAATGAAGTTAATACAGTGGAGTGAAGGCTTTAAACACAGTCTGGAGGTGTGTTTTGTGCCTTGGAAGTGCTGTTGGATTGTACCACGGCCGTGGTGTGTGGCAGGTTTATGGTGTTGTGCAAATACGAGCTGATTCCTCGGGGCATTCCTGTGTGACCCTCCCTGTTTTGCAGCTGGAAAAATGGGACCTACTTCCCCAGCAGTTTGGTGTTTTCCCCTAGGAACCAGCCAGCACAACCATATGAGAATATGACTGTTAGCAGGTCCCAGGGACAATTCCAGGCTTACAGATCCAAGAGCTTCCACCTTGGACAGCCTTTCTGTCCACTTTTATGCAGATTTCCACGTTAAACTCTTCCTGCAATTTCTGTTCCTTCTATGAGGGCATCATACAGGTTTCTCTTTGTAACTCTTTTCTTCCCTAATGCCCTCAAGGAATGGATCAGCACTCATTCACAGTAACTCTCCCTGAAAATTTCAACTTAAGCTCTTTAAATTCACCTCAGGAAAACTGAATGTCCAAATTTCCTGGCTAAATGTCCTTCATTTCTCTTGTGCTTTTTGACTCCTCAACCCCCATCCTATGGCATCCATTCAGAGCACTTTGTAAAAATAAATTCAGGGTCGAGGGTATTGGTTTTTTGATTACTTATGGATTGGGAAGAAAGCTCTGGAATTCTCTGCAAGTACTAAATGGCACTTGAATTTTTATCTGGAAGCTTCTTAGTTAATTGTGATTTTTAATATATTTTTTTAAAAACCAGAAATCCAATCTGCATTAATAATTTCACTGCTCTCTTGTTCTTTTCTGTCATGCAGACTTTCAAGATGTCAACCACATGGTGATTTTTGGATTTGGCTTTTTCCTGATGGTTCTGAGAAGATATGGGTTTAGCAGCACTGGATTCAACCTCCTGATCATTGTACTTGGTGTCCAATGCTCTGTGTTGGTAGAAGATTTATTAGTTTCCTTTTCTCTAGAGGAAAAGGAAGGTATTCTGAAAAGGTAATTAGTTCATGTTAGAATTGGAATCATCCAGAACTGCTGATTGGTCTTTATGGAGGTTAATGCCTTGTTATATGGACCTTTTTGGGAATTAGCATAGTCATATTTGCAGACATTTTAGAAGGCTTTGGGTTTTTAATGCATTTTATTGCATGTCATTCTTTATTGGCCCTGCTGTCATCCTGATACAGAATAATTTTTTCCTTTTCTTTCTTTTCTTGCAGTATAGCAAAGGCTTTTATAAGTATGACAGCTGTGATTATCTCCACTGGAGCTGTTCTTGGGAAGACTAATCTTGTGCAGTTAATTGTGATGACACTTGTGGAATTAACAGTTTTCTACGTGAGCAGATGGATCAACAGGAGATACCTGAAGGTACTGTAGCATGATTTCCAAATACATGGGAGAAAATTTCACTGGGACCTTGGAATGTTGCCTTTTTTTGCTGGTTTCTTGGTGCTCTGCTGACAGGAACATTGGGGGGTTTTATCTCAGATCGTGGCTGTGTTTTCATTAAAAGATGAAGTCTGACTTTGGGATTATATTTAAGGACATCAAACTCCAAACCCTGCACACTCCATATCTCTATACCTGTATCTTTGGCCTGGAAGGGTGAGCTGATCTGATGGATTGGGGTGCAGTGCACTTGGCCTTGCCAACCCCACAGATGAATGAAAGCCCTGACCTCTGCTAAGGCACTAATTGCCCTTAAACTTTACCCTGTGCCAGTTCAGCCTGGCAGATTTCCAGTGGGAATGGTGTCCAGCAGCATCAGGCCTGCAAACATAACCCCAAACTCTCTATGTATGGATCATGTGTTTATGAGCTGCACTGAGTTCAGATAACTCCATCTCACGTAAATAACTCAAGCATAAGCTGAGGGACTGTGAAAATAAGTTGCTTACAGGAAGGTAACATGAACAACTGTATCAGGAACTGCATCAAAGGCTTCGTGTGGCCTTAAATAGACCACAAATTTGAATGTTCTGTTGATACAGGTTGGAGATCATCTCAGCCTGATGCATGTGCACCTGTTTGGAGCCTACTTTGGGCTGGCAGTCACCTCCTGTTTCCCTGAGCCCTCCCCAAGGCTGGACAAGAACAGGAGCACCCCAAAGTCAGACTTGTTCTCCATGTTGGGTGAGTCTTTGGCTCCAGCGCCTCAGCTGGAAGAAGAGGTTGCAGTGAGAACATAAGGGAGGTTTTTGGGGTTCTGGGCACAGCAGGCTGAAGGTTTTGAATCCCAAATGCAGGTGTGAGTCAGCCAGGCATAGAAAACTGCTGCTGTGGCTGGTGGTTTCTGACAATGGGCTGGTGACTCTCAGCACGTTCCCTACCAGGCCACTCCTGCAACGGCTGTGGCTCAGTTTGCTTTTGTCACCCTCAGCATGAAGGCTGTGCCAGGGTAACTGTTCCTTCTCCAGGTGAACCCTCCCCTGTCACAGTCCAGTGACTGGGCTTATCTAGGCAGGTTGGTGAGCAGCCTGTGTGCCAGAGCTGAGGTCCTAACATGTGTTTTGGTAGAGCTCCCAGTCCCCAGCTGGGGCCGAGGCCCGGTTGTGTTTGCAAGGTGGTGTGCAGAGATATAAACAGGCAGTCCCTGCCTAGTAACATAAATGGAAAGATAAAAGCCTCATGAAGGGTGGGGAGTGTGATACAAGCAGGCCCACCAGAAAGGATCTGAGTGAGGACAGGCTGAAGGTGTAGGAGGCCCAGCTTTGTCCTTACAGAAGCAATTTGGTTTCTTTATTACCTTGGCTTCTGTTGTGTAACTGCCACCTGCTGAACTAAGATCTTCCTGCAGGGGTCCACAGAGTCTAATTCTTAGTCAGTCTTTGCCCAGTCGAGGCAAAAGAAGTTTAAATGCTGCTCTTTTGTGTTCCTGGAGTTCTTGTTTGCTGGAGAATTCAAGATCAGTATTTTCATCTAACTCATCAAGACATTGTTAAACCTTCATTATAATTTTAGTGCAGCTTGCTACAACCAAGTGCTTGCTATTTGGAGTAATTATAGTTATTTCTTGAATAATTCCTGAGGTAACTTGGGTAGAAAGGAGCAACTGAGCAGGCAAATTCCTTGGGAAGAATCATCAAAGAGGTGGAGAGGATTCTGTTCTTATTATTCAGTTCATCCTCATTTCTCTTCAAACCCTGCCAGGAGACAAGACAACCAGCACCAGTCATACTGGCAGCCAAGGAAAAAGACACACCAAAGTGCAGTTGGTTGGTTTTTTTTACAGTGGTTTGTACCATGGGAGCTGTTTCCCTTCCTCCCTGGCTTTCATTCTCTCACAGCTGGTTTTGAACAGTAATTCCACAGTTCCATGAAAAGGAGCAGAACTTTTGGCCGAGGAGCAGGTGCCTCTCAGGGCTGTCTGCTCTCCTTTCTTTACAGTTTGGGAATTACAGAGAGTGCAAACTGTGAGCACTCCAGATGTGATGTGTTTAGAGCAGGTAATGAGAGTTTCTTGTGTTTGTCTCCAAGGCTGTGTCTTTCTCTGGGTGTTCTGGCCAAGCTTCAATTCTCTGCTCATCCAGTCCAGGATGAAAGCCCTCCTCAACACCTACCTCGCCCTTGCAGTGAGTGCTGTAACTGCCTTCCTGTTGTCTGCTCTGACCTCAAAGGATGGGAAATTCAGAATGGTAAGGCACGAGAGAAAATCCCTTCATGGAGAAGATTTTTCTGTTAGTCTCAGTAATACACTGATAATACAATAGCTGCTAACTAAAAACAAGTCCAGGCTTTCAGCCTGACAGTCATCAGAGTAACAGAGTGGTTTGGGTTGGAAGAGACTTTAAAGCCCATCTTGTTCCACCCCTGCCATGGGCAAGGACACCTTCCACTAGCCCAGGTTGCTCCAAGCCCCATCCAACCTGGCCTGGGACACTTCCAGGGATCCAGGGACAGCCACAGCTTCTCTGGGCAACCTGTGCCAGGGCCTCCCCACCCTCACAGGGAAGGATTTCTTCCTAATATCTAATCTAAACCTTCACTCTTTCCATTCAAAGCCATTCCCCTTTGTTTTATCACTAAATAAAAAGTCTTTTAACTCCATGTTCTTATTTTATTTTACAGACTCACATCCACAGTGCAGCACTGGCTGGTGGGGTCACCCTTAGTTTTACAGCAGAGACCATCAGTCATCCTTGGATTGCCATGATTTTGGGTCTGCTTGGCAGTGCCATCACCATATTAGGATCTCACTGTTTACAGGTAGTATTCAAAACCTGAAGTTGTTTTCATATAAGCTGTGTAAACTTCTTTTCCAATGTAGGATACCTCAAGGGAAACCTCTTTTTCAAAGAGATTAAAACTAAGAAACCCGAGGTGCTTTGAGGAGAGTGCAGGGTTGGAACTTGCAAATTCTCTAGGTCTGCAACAGACAATATGCAATTATCAACAATTAAATCTTTCCTTCTTCCCAGAGATGCTTTAATCCTCCTCTCAAAATTCATGATACTTCTGGAGTTCATTTCACCTTTGGCTTGCCTGCTGTGCTTGGAGGTCTTGCCCAAGTTGTTCTCTTAGTCATAAGAGAATGGACTAATTCATCGAGGTACTTAAATTTTTGTTATTAAATAATAAGCTTAAATGATCATTATTGCAGCTGCCCTGAGAAGAGTTCTCATACCTACAGAGAGCCTGAGTGTCATCACAGATAAATTGTTTTATACCAGATAAGCCAAGATAATCCTTGAAGTCCAAAAGATCAGTAAAAAAAGGGCTTTGAGAGTTGAGCAGACTTTGAATGAAAACTTTATCAGTTTTGGGTCCTCTTTTCTGTCTCCCTTTTTATTTGACATTAAATACAGCAGAAATGGGAGCTGAAAGCTGGGAATGTGCCTCGTTTCAAGACTCATTTTAGCTTTTGGGGTGTTTTGGGGAGCTTTGTGTGCAAAGAGAGGGGAGGCAGAAATCAGAGTGCAGCATGAGGGCCTTGTACTTCTAGTCATGTTCTTAGTGAAACAAATTTAATGAAGTTTTAGTACCACAGTGATGGTTTCTAAAGACAAAATATGTCCCCTGAAGTCTGTATTAGTTTTCTGGTAGGATCTCCTAAAACATCCAACTGCAGCTGCAGAGAGATTTGAGAATAACAGAGTTTTGATGAGAGGTTTTAATGTGAAATACTGTTTAGATACAGATTCATTCACAGTCCTGATGCTAAATTCAGCAACTGTGAAAGGTGAAACACTTGTTTTCCTTTTCAGTCTGGGTTATTTGGTCCTTCTTCACGTTGGTGCCCTCTGCCAGACCATCAGCCTTGCCTTGATAACAGGTTTTATCACAGGTCAGTATTGAAACACAGGTTCCAGTAACTTCTGCAGTGTTCCCTCAGGGCAAGTTTCTCTGGGTAAGTTATTTGTAAAGCAGCCACAGAAACATGAATGCCAGGGGGTCTTCAGAGCCAGCCTCTTGAAGAAGAGATGTATTGCACATCAATAACCCAGCAGCACCATTCTTTCAGTGCTCAAGTTTATTTTAACCCAGGCTTAACAGCTGCCTTCACATTTCACGCAGGGGATGTGTGAAGATGAAAATATTTTTACATTTGGGTATTGTCTTGGTGACAGAAAATGCTATTTAGGGCTTGTCACTTGGTGTAAATGTGCAGAGATTCACCAACGTCAGGAGCTGCATCATTCCAGCACCAGGCCTTTGATCAGGAGTGGTTTGGGATCAGCAGGGCTCACGTGGCTCCCACGTGATGTTCTGGTTTGTGACAGCTGCTGCTTTTCTAGAGCTCTTAATTCTGTCTTGAGCAAAACAGAAATGGCTGATGAAAATTGCTGTGAAACACACTCTTAAAATGATTGTTTTGTGATCTAAAACCTTTGCATTACCCTGAGTGTAATTAAAAAGTTGAGCAGATTTTTATTCAGCTAAAAGAACCAAACATTCAGTGCTTAACCAACTGTTTAAAAATCGAGATATATCCATCTGAAACCCCAAGCTAACAGTGCTGATAAGCCAGATTGCTTTCAATACACAGGCATTTTTCATGCAAGAAGTTAATATTTTTGTTGTAGTTTTAGAGTTTAATTGGGTTTTACCTAAAGCAATTAATTTTTAATATCAATAAGCCTTGATCCTGGCAAGCTTCTCTCTTTGTATTAAAGGTCAGCTTCAGTCAAGGGGCTCTGTTGAAGCATTTAGTTCTGACTTTGTATTTTGACCTGTGTTACATTTGGATACATGTTACTAAGAAACTTCCAGTTACACAAAATCTTCCCCTTTTCCTGATGTTTATATTTATATTAGATACATCTGTTTTTACAAATAGGTTTTATCTTGAACACCAGACTGCTTAAGATCATCCCTGTATCAAAGTACTTCGAAGACCAGTTTTACTGGGAGGTAAGTTTAAATGTAAAATTGACTGTGTGAGAGTGTATTTAGCACCTTGATGAAGAACTTTGGGTATTTGAATTAAACATATGAAAAAAGGGGATATTCCATTTCACAGCACATTTTGTTTGATGCACAAACACAGGCCTCAGGCACCTTTAGGTGCTCATTGAGATGCTGTATCTGAATTACAGAACAAAGAAATGGATGAAAATAAGCTTCTAATCAGGTTTTCCACTGGGGTTTTTTGTACAGTGATTTCATGCATAAAATGTTCTGACACAAGAATGTTTGTCTTCACAGTTTCCCCATTTGGCTGTTGAATTTTGAGTGGAAGATCCCAGCTGACCAAGATAAGATTTTTCCTCTTTGTCACTAGAGAAAATGAGTAGCTATGATGGGTTGAAAGAGCACTGAAATACCAGTTCCCAGGCCCACAAAAGCCATCCCCATGGAAACACAAAAAATTAGTATTAAACTAGTTATTCTCCAAAGATACTGAGTGTAAATTCACAGATGCAAACTTGCATTTAGCTTTTCTGCTTTGTTGGTCTTACCTTAAATAAGATATGTACAAAAAGGTTGACTGCATTCATGGCTGTAATGGCTTATCAATCCAAATGCTTGGAAACTTTAAACTATTTTTAGCTCCCAATTTTAAAAGCCAAAATTATGTATTTCAAAGTGTAATTTTTCAAGGAGCACTTTTTATCTAGAAAAGTACTCAACTACATGTTTTTAAGCTAAATTGATTCTGTTGAAGGCCTTGTTAAGGAAGGATTTGATGGGTGAGCTGGATCTGGGCCAAACTCTGCATCCTGCCAGACTGAACTCCTTGAGTTCTCTGACTGCTTAAAGACAAATCTGTCATTACTTGGCTCGGGCTATTTGGAAGTTCAGATGGCAAGAGGTTCAATTGTTCTTCCTGTGCATGGTGCCCCTGAAATCAATTTGGTATTTGCTGCCAAATCTAAAATAAGAGCAGAGCTCAGGTCAGTGTCTGGGTAGGGACAGCCTGTACCACCACAGGGTCAGCTGCCACCTGAGGGGACTGAGGGAATAATCCTCAGAGCTGCCTGAAACCAATGCCAAGACCCAATTTTGGAAGTGGCTTATTCCAAGACAGGCAGGGGACTCTGGGGCCTAATCACACAGAGGATTCTCTGCAAGTGTACCCTTGTTTGTAAGTGGATTGTGATCCTCGGCATTTGTTCTTTGTCTCAAAAATAGCTGACACAGAAAAAAACTCTTTCCAAAATGCTTACCTAATAAAGAAGTGAAAATGTGATTGTTTTTTTTTATTCAGCACACTTGTTAAAAATGAATGAGGAAACCCATGACATTGAGGACCAGGCTGTTCTTTGATGCTCACTGACCTCATTCATTCTTTAGGTGTTGAGCAAAGCAGGTCACTACAGTTACAGAAATGAAACAGGTTCCAAGTAATGAAAAAATTGCTTGCAGAGGAAGGGCCAGTTTTCTTTGTTTCTAGGTCACAAAGGAGCCAGTGATCTGCTGAGTTAATGAGCTGCTTCCACCAGCCTGGACACACAGAGTGTTACCTCACAGTTAACTCACCACTTACTCCGTGAGTAACAGTGGGATCCAGGCCCAGCTTATGTTCTTCACTTTCTTCACTTCCCAGGAACCAACCAAACATAACTTGTGCAACACAAACTCCTGTTTTCTGTCTTTAAGTGACTAATATTTTATTCCATCTCCCTTACCATTGATCTCCTGAGCAACTGGCCTGGGTGAATGCACAGGAAGGGGCAGACACAGGATCAGAACTCTTCCTATCTGAGCAGTACCTTTTTCCAGAGAAAGAATTCCATCTGAAGAGAGAATTCCATCCTTTTCTCTCACAGTGGTTAGAAAATAGCTGAACACAAGCATTGTGGATGAGCTACTTCCATCTAGAGCCACTATTTAATTTGTGCCTCTCCAGTGTCACCCACAGCAAGTTGTTACTTGCCAGAGACTTCCTCATTATCACCATAGGATAAATTTAATATTCAGAGAGAGGTAAAAAAAAAAATCCCAAACCAACATAGTTCTATATTATGCAAGAAAAGCCACACACCAATTACCTTTGAAACTGAAGAAATGGTTATATTGTCCAGATATAGGAAATATTTAATAAATATAGGTTAAAAAGTTGTTTTAAAGCATTTTAGTAAGTTTTTCTTCGTAAATAACGTCATAGAAACAGCTGGTTAAATACATCCATGTTCCATTATCCTGTTTATTTGTAGCAAATGTATCAGAAAAGTGACTCCACCGTTACTTGTAGCAATTTTACATTTGTCAAAAAACATCACGACATTTAAGTGGACGTACAAGAGTAAAAAAAAAACAAAATCAAAGAGAATAGAGCTGGAATTTTTAGTGCTTTCAGCTTTCCTTGATTTATCTTTTGACATGATGGAAGGTCAGGGTTTACAAAATGGTTTTTTACAAAATTTGGGGAGTGTGCAGTTAAAACCCAGCCTGGCCAGGGCACTTCCAGAGGGGAGTTCACTGCCACAAATCTTCCGTGCGACCAAACTTGAAGACCAGTCCTCTGTTTAAAACAGAATAAAGGGACATAATGAGCACACAAGGGAGCAAATCAAGCCCCTTCTTATTTTAAAAACGTGATTTCAGGGAGCAAACTGTGGTATTTGAATCCACTTCTTTGTCCTGCATGAGACCTGTGCAGACAGATCCCAGAGATCTGCTGCCTTCACCAGTTTATTCACACAGGTCTGGTTACAAAACAGGTCTTAAACTAAAACCAGATTACAGCAAGTTTCAGTTTTTGTCATAAAAACCAAATTAGATAAGAAACAAACAAAGGAAGATAGGCTTACCCAAAAAAGATGAATGCATTCTGGAAAAACACAGCTATTCCTGGGTATACCACTGGTTTTTCTAACAAAAGAAAAAAAAAATCTCTGCAAATTTTTTTGGAAGTGATTTTCAAGCATATCCCATTTCTAACACCTTTTGCTAATTTAGCATATAGGCTCTGGGAGCAATCTTCACAAACTCAGTAATTTTTGTTCTGGGAATAAGTCCTCACCCAGGGAATTATTCCCATAAAACTGCAGCAGTTTAATTATATTTGTCCAGTTCCCAGTGGAGCAAGACCTGTGTTTCTAGAGGGTAGTCAGAAGTTTGTGACTTAGAAATAGAAAAAATCCCTCCCAATGTTAATACAATGGGATAGTGGTGTGTAGGGAACTAAAATATTCAGACAGGGACTGCCTAGAAACTATATAAAAATAAGCTCTGAAATTCAACAGCCATTTAAAACATTTTAAACTTCCAAAAAAGGGGCCAGGCCTTACCTTTAACAACGTAGCCTCCAAAAAGGATCCACATGGAAGCAATGAGAGACCCAAAAGCCATCATAAACCCAATGAACAGCCAGATCCGAGCCCCTGGAACGAGACAAGAGGGATGTTTGTCTGAGGATGGGCATCGTGGCTCTTGTCTCAGGCACCCAAAGCATGCCCTGGCACAGCTCTCCCAGTTTTTCCAAGGCTCAGTGGATTCCCAGATGTGTACCTGTCTGCCCCAGGCAGCCCTCGCTGTAACTGTCCCCCCGCACCTGCCCGTTGGACACCGCGTTGATCCTGAGGGAGAAAAACGGGAGAAAATGGGATAAATCCCCTCGTTTGAAGCCTTTTATTAACTGCACAAAGCAAGTTCTAGGAGTGTGTAGCTCTGACCAAGGAATGGCCCTTACATCAGGAATGCAATGGTGGCTATAACCCCACAGGCATGGTAGGAGTGGTTGAAGTCTTCCACTTTAGGGTATTTCACAGCTGCATCTATGATTATCCACCAGCCTGTAAAAAACTAGGGAGAAAAAAAAGAAGGAATATGGCTTAAAGTACAGACACAAGCCCTTTTACAATGCCTAAGACTGCTCTAGAAAAAAAATAACACTAATATATAAAATCATTCTTACGATCTCCAGCAGGGTAAAGGGATGGTATAAGTACTTTTGCTGTGGGCTTGGGAACAAGGTTGGATGCAAAGCCAGAGATTTCCCTACTCCAACAGTTACTCCATTTAGCTTAAGAAACACGTGGATGCAAGAACCCAGAACAGATTTTGTTCCTAACTTTGCTGCTAGGTACAAGGACAATGTATCCCTGTTCTTCCTTTTCACAGAAGTGTTCAGGCTGGAAAAGCCCTCCACAGTGGTGGAGTCCAACCACTAAACCGTGTCCCCAAGTGCCCCATCCACACGTTGTTTTGAACACTTCCAGGGATGGTGACTCCACCACAGCCCAGGGCAGCCTGTTCCAATGCTTCCAGCGAAGGAATTTTCCCAAAAATCCAACCTAAGCCTGCCCTGGCACAACTTGAGGCTGTTTTCCTCTCATCCTGCCACTTTGTTACCTGGAAGAGAGGAGCCTTCCAAGCTCTAACAATCTTTAGCTCCTGACAGCTGACTACACCTAGGGGGCCTGACAGCAGGGCAAGCACAGCAGTACCAGCACTCCCGCGGCCACAGAGGCGATGGTGTTCCGCTTCTCCCCCCAGTCCACGCACTCCGAGCACCTCAAGCTCTCCAGAAAACCGGACATTTTTCAAGCACTTGGAAGAACTGGAGGGAAAAAAAA